GTAATCCCAGCACTTTGGGAGGCCGAGGCGGGTGGATCACGAGGTCAAGAGATCGAGACCATCCTGGTCAGCATGGTGAAACCCCGTCTCTACTAAAAATACAAAAAATTAGCTGGGCATGGTGGCACGTGCCTGTAATCCCAGCTACTCAGGAGGCTGAGGCAGGAGAATTGCCTGAACCCAGGAGGCGGAGGTTGCGGTGAGCCGAGATCGCGCCATTGCACTCCAGCCTGGGTAAAAACGAAACTCCGTCTCAAAAAAAAAAAAAAATACAAAAATTAGCCAGGTGTGGTAGTGGACGCCTGTAATCCTAGCTACTCAGGAGACTGAGGCAGAAGAACTGCTTGAACCTGGGAGGCAGAGGTTGCAGTGAGCCGAGATCATGGCACTGCACCACTCCAGGCTGAGCAACAGAGTGAAACTCCATCTCACCAAAAAAAAAAAAAAAAAAAAAAAGTCAGCAACAAAAGATTTCTCAGTTTATTTGCATGTATACATTGTCACCCCAGGGAGTCAGCTCTATTTCAGGAGTCCCCAGCTCCCCTTACCGAGCCAACACCCAAAACCCACCCAAGAGGATGGGTCCTGGATAAATAATGCCCAGGACTCATATTCTAACCCCATAGGTTATAACAGAATTCATCTAGCAAAAACAGAGGGCTAGACAGCCAGTGTCCATGAGATGTCCTTGCCCCTTTGTAAACATTAACATCCAGGCCACTGGAGCCTGGGGAAAGTGTGCAAATATGAGGATGCCACACTGTGTGCCCAGGGGCCAGGTACACAGCTGGCAAACATACCCATGAAGTCCTGAGGGTCTGCCCCCACTGGAACATGGCAAGTGCCAGGGGCAGAAACAAGGCAGTTACCCCACACCTGAGGGCTCACATGAGATGGCAGCGACGCTCTTGACCATAGGAATTCTCCACACGGGCAATCTCCTGGATCACTTTGGTGAAGATGCCTTGAGTCAGCTACAAGGGGAGAGGATTCAGGGCAAAAGTCAGTTCAGTGTCAATACCACCCAGCTCTGGAGTGAAAGCCCCATTCCCCGAACATTCCCACCACGAAGCAGTACAATAAGGAAAACACAGGTATCACCACCACCCTTCTAGTCTTCAGGCTCAGCACCTGATTCTCTCGAGCAGATGACTCCATAAATGTCGCTCCCCAGGACTCTGCCAGCTTCTTCCCTTCAACTGCCTGTACCTCTCTGGAAGAAAATTTGGGACATAAAGATGGAGAAATGGCAGCAAGTGCTTTGAAAAATCTTCAGAATCAAGGCTTCCTGGTCAGGCACAGTGGCTCATGCCTGTAATGCAGCACTTTGGGAGGCCTAGGCAGTGAATCACTTGAGCTCAAGAGTTCAAGACCAGCCTGGGCAACACAGTGAAACACCATCTCTACTAAAAAGAAAATGAAAAGTTTTTAAAAAAGGAGAAAAAAAAAAAAAAAAAAAAAAAGGCCAGAAGCAGTGGCTCATGCCTATAATCCCAGCACTTTAGGAGGCCAAGGCGGGCAGATCACGAGGTCAGGAGCCCCAGACCAGCCTGGCCAATATGGTGAAACCCCATCTCTACTAAAAATACAAAAATTAGCCGGGCATGGTGGCAGGTCCCTGTAATACCAGCTACTTGGGGAACTGAGGCAGGAGAATAGCTTGAACCCAGGAGGCAGAGGTTGCAGTGAGCTGAGATCGCACCATTGAACTCCAGCCTGGGCAACAAAAGTGAAAGACTCTGTCAAAAAAAAAAAAAAAAAAAGAAAGGAAAAAGAAAAAAAAGGAACAATGGAACAATGAGTGGCAATGGGTGAATCCAGGACTAAGGCTTGAAATATGAAATCATGGCTTTTAAGATAGAAGTGTTATCTTCCTTAAGTTTCAAGTTAGAGACAAAGAGAGGTGAAATGACTTGAGTCAGTGGCAAAGCCAGAATGAGAGCCTGACTGATTCCTAGTCCAGCTCACTTCCTTTTGCCCTGAGTAGCAGAGATTTACATACCTCTCTGGAGAGAGATCTGCCTTGTTCCCAACTAAAACCACTGGCACCCTGTGAGGAAACAGCAGTTACTACAGAATCCCCTCTCACTCCCCACATTCCCCAACTCCTTACATCAAGGCTGGACAACTCCTCATCAGACCAGGCCAGATCTATATCCCAGCCTCCTCTCTAACTTGGACAATTCTCCCCTCTGCTCTCTTCCACTCCTTCATGCCCATACTATGTCTCTATCCCCCAGGGCCACTTACCGGGTTTTCCCATGGCCTTCGTGTAGCTTTTGGTACAGACTCTCAATGACTTGGAAGCTTTAAACACAAGAACTGGAGCTATAACTTTTTTTTTTTTTTTGAGACGGAGTCTTGCTCTGTCACCAGGCTGGAGTGCAGTGGCAATCTCGGCTCACTGCAACCTCTGCCTCCTGGGTTCAAGCGATTCTTCCGCCTCAGCCTCCCGAGTAGCTGGGACCACAGGTACATGCCACCATGCCCGGCTATTTTTTTGTATTTTTAGTAGAGACGGGGTTTCACCATGTTGGCCAGGATGGTCTCGATCTCTTGACCTCGTGATCTGCCCGCCTCGGCCTCCCAAAGTGCTGGGATTACAGGCATGAGCCACCACGCCCGGCCTAGAGCTATAACTTTATTAGACAGTTCTCAGATCCTCCCCAGTCCTCCACTCAAACCTTGGTCACTTACCTATGCAGAGAGGTGACAGAATACACGAGCACATAACCATGGACCCCAATGATGAATGAATAGGGCAGAATGCTGTACTCATCCTGGGAAGAAATGGAAACATCACTACCTAGATTCAAACCACTCCAGTGGCAAAGGTTGGTGGGACAACATCCACATGACCCTCCCTGGGGCATTCCCTCCTATAGTCACTTCCACAAATATTTATGGAGCAGCTCCAATGAGCACTGCACACTGTTAGCAGGTAAGATGCTTTCAATACTACTATACAGATGAGCCATAAAGACTACCAGACTTCATCTGTGAGGGCTGAACTGCCACATTTGGATACCATACCCCAACTGGTACCTGCCCTGCTGTGTCCACCAGGTGTAGGTGAAACTCATCTTTGCCAAGAGTCACTATCTTGCTGTAAGCTGAAAAGAAAAGAAAACTTGACTGTGAGGTACCTTATAGGGACAGTGATGTATGTCCCCTTATTTTTTTTTTATTTTAGAGATGAGGGTGTTGCTATGTTACCCAGGCTGTATAGCACTAGCTATTCACAGGTGTACTCTTAGCACCTTATAGCCTAGAACCCCTGGGCTCAAGCAATCCTCTGACCTCAGCCTCTCAAGTAGTTGGAACTATAGGTATGTACCTCTGCACCTGCCTGTCTCCTTACCTTCTTTTTTTTTGGCAGCATTTTTTAAAGTAGAATCTTGATCAGGTGTGGGGACTCACACCTATAATCCTAGCACTTTGGGAGGCCAAAGCGGCTGAATCACTTAAGACCAGGAGTTGGCCGGGCGCGGTGGCTCAAGCCTGTAATCCCAGCACTTTGGGAGGCCGAGGCGGGTGGATCATGAGGTCAAGAGATCGAGACCATCCTGGTCAACATGGTGAAACCCCATCTCTACTAAAAATACAAAAAATTAGCTGGGCATGGTGGCGTGCCTGTAATCCCAGCTGCTCAGGAGGCTGAGGCAGGAGAATTGCCTGAACCCAGGAGGCGGAGGTTGCGGTGAGCCGAGATCGCGCCATTGCACTCCAGCCTGGGTAACAAGAGCGAAACTCCGTCTCAAAAAAAAAAAAAAAAAAAAAAGACCAGGAGTTGGAGACCAGCCTAGCCAACATGGTGAAACCCCATCTCTACTAAAAATACAAAAAATTAGTTGGGCATAGTGGTGCGTGCCTGTAGTCCCAGCTACTCAGGAGGCTGAGGCACGAGAACTATTTGAACCTGGGAGGCTGAGGTTGCAGTGAGTTGAAATTGTGGCACTGCACTCCAGCTTGGGTGACAGAGCAAGACTCCTATCTCGAAAAGAAAAGAAAAATAAAGTATATTCTTTTGCTTTATTGATAAACAATAGATGTACCAAGTTTCAGGGTACATGTGATAATTTAATACATTCCCATAATTTGTTTTCTTTTGTTATTATATTGTTTTTGAGACAGAGTCCTGTTCTGTTGCCAGGCTGGAGTGTAGTGGTGCAATCTCGGCTCACTGCAACCTCCGCCTCCCGGGTTCAAGCGATTCTTCTGCCTCAGCCTCCTAAGTATCTGGGATTACAGGTGTGTGCCACCATGCCCAGCTAATTTTTTGTATTTTTAGTAGAGAAGGTGTTTCATCATGTTGGCCAGGATGGTCTCCATCTCTTGACCTTGTGATCTGCCTGCCTCGGCCTCCCAGAGTGCTGGGATTACAGGCATGAGCCACCGCACCCAGCCTACATTCACATAATTTGTAAAGATCAAAAAAGTATATCTGGAATATTTATCACCCTAAATATGTCTTTTCTTTATGCTAGAACCACTTGAATTTTTCTCTTCTAGCTATTTCAAAATGTAAAACAGCTTATTGTAAACTATAGTCACCCTACTGATCTAATACTGTCTTATTTCTTCATCAAACCATATATTTATGCTCATTGATCAAATTATCTTTATCCTTCCCACTCCCTTCCCCCTTACATTTTCTTTCTTTTCTTTTTTTGAGACAGAGTTTCGCTCTTGTTGCCCAGGCTGGAGTGCAATGGCTTGATCTTGGCTCACTGCAACCTTGCCTCCCAGGTTCAAGCGATTCTCCTGCCTCAGCCTCCCAAGTAGATGGGATTACAGGTGTGTGCCACCATGCCCAGCTAATTTTTTGTATTTTTAGTAGAGACAGAGTTTCACCATGTTGGCCAGGCTGGTCTCAAACTCTTGACCTCTGGTGATCCACCCACCTTAGCCTCCCAAAGTGCTGGGATTACAGGTATGAGCCACCGTACCAGCCTTTTTTTTGTTTCTGACACCCAAACTAGCGTGCAGTGGCACAATCTTGGCTCACTGCAACCTTTGCCTTCTGGGTTCAAGCAATTCTTCTGCCTCAGCCTCCCAAGTAGCTGGGATTACAGGTGTGCACCCCCATGACCAGCTTATTTTGGTATTTTTAGTAGAGATGAGGTTTCACCATGTTGGCCAAGCTGGTCTCAAAATCCTGATCTCAAGTGATCCACCCCCCTCAGACTCCCAAAGTGCTAGGATACAGGCGTAAGCTACTGCACCTGGTCTCCCCTTACATCTTAACCCTGGGGGTGACATAGATCAGCTCCAAGGAGTTATCCAGGTAACTGCAAAGACAAGCTAAGGTTCTTAATGTCTACATCTAAACTATCCCAGACTCAGTATCTTGCAAAATCCATACTCTAGCCATCCATTGAACAGGATTGCTAAAGAAGAAATTAGATCTAATCTAAATAAATCAGCCCCTTGGCGCCAGAGAAATACATTATGGAGTTGGGTGGGGTACCCAAGCCCTCCAGGTCTCATCTCCAGCACACTAGTGGAGAAGTCTACTCACTATTCTCCACTGTAGGATCGTAGCCTTCCACGAACTCGCCCTCCACAAATTGATGTGCCAGAGATGTTTTCCCTGTGGGGAGCAGTGTGGCAGTTGTATCCAAATCATCCATCCACATTCACATCCTCTGTCCTTTCGGACTGTGGCCCAGGACCAAAGGGGACCCCAAATTAGCACCACAGTCTGTGAGTGCCTCAAGCAATGCTATTTCTTGGTCTACCCTCAGCCTCTTTTCGCCCGGGGTCTCCTGACTTTGGCTACCGGATGCATTCAGAAGCACTGCAGGAAGCCTTTCCCGCCGCCTTCCCCATCCCATCCCACCCGCAGGAAGATCCAAGATTCCCTAGGATCAAGTCCACCCTGCCCCAGGACATCTGCGACTATCTGTCCCCAAGGAGACCTAGTACGGGTTTTCAAATTGTGATCCCACTCCTATCCCCCAAGTAACGCTGGGACAACTGTGAGATTCCTGCAGCCGAGTCCGCATTAACCCTTAAGTGCTCCCTCTTCCTGCAGCCTCCAGACACCACTAGCCTTTATTTCTTCACTCTTCCAATCCTCGCTCTACAACTCCATCCTTACGCTGTCATCATTCCTCCCTGGGTCGCGTTCCCGCGACAGTGCGCTTCTTCTGGCTAAAAAGCTGCTGCACGTCCGAGCTTTGCAGGGCGGAGACTCACCTACAGAGCGGTATCCGAGGATGACCACCTTCCTGTAGCGGACCAGCGGCATGGCAGGAGCCCGCCCCAGGAGCTTGCGAAACTGCGGGCTGAGAGAGCCCGAAGACCGGGTCAGGGTGTGGGCAGGCGCGTCAACCAGTGCAGGAAAGTCGTTCACACCGAAGCTGCGGTGGGCAAGTTAGACGGAAACCAAAACAAGCGCCGCGCCCGGAGCTGCCCACGTGATCACAACACAGCAAGTCTAACGCGAGGGAGCCGAGCGCCAGGGGAACTACTGTGCCGCGCCGCGCCGGGCTCCGCCCCCCAGGCCGCTCGCCATTGGCCCATTAGAAAGGGTAAGGGCGGCGCCGCCAGCAGGAGGCAAGGGTGGGCCTCACGTGGAGCGGGAGAACTGGGAGCTGCGCGTGCGCAGACTGGAGCCGGTTCATTCATAAAGAAACGGAAAGGAACCCGGGGTCCTAGAGTTGTTTGCGCATTTGCAGCCTAGCTAAAGTGGCTGCGAATACTTATAGATGGAAAATACCTGTTGTGGTTTCTGGTCAAAAGATTCCAGCCTTCCCCTTTGCATGATCTCTGGGGTCCTTAGATAGGGAGAAAAAGGCCCGAGTTCCAATATATTCCCTCTGCTTCCGCCAGCCTTGGCCCCAAACCTATCAAGTTTCCAGTCTTGCAGCATCTAATTTCAAACTGCAATTCTTGTTCTTGCGGAAATTGCTAGAATTTATGATCAAGTAGTCTGAGGTTTCTTCTTCATCATCATGATCCTCAAACATTCATTTTTCAACAAATATTGAGCATATATCACAAGTTACAGGCATTGCTTCAGCTTTGGGGACAGAACATGGACATGACAGACAATGTGTCTGCTCTTATGAAGGGAGAAACAAACATATAACAAGGAAATACGCCGGGCGCGGTGGCTAACGCCTGCAATCCCAGCACTTTGGAAGGCTGAGGCGGGAGTATCACTAAATCAAGAGTTCAAGACTAGCCTGGCCAAGAAACCAGCCTGGCCAACATGGTGAAACTCCGTCTCTACTAAAAATACAAAAATTAGCCAGGGGTGGTGGTGGGCCCCTGTAATCCCAGCTACTCGGGAGACTGAGGCAGGGGAATTGCTTGAACCTGGGAGGCGGAGGTTGCAGTGAGCTGAGATGGCGCCATTGCACTCTAGCCTGGGTGACAAAGTGAGACTCCGATTCACCAAAAAAAAAAAAGAAAAAAAAAAAAAAAAAAAAACAGGAAATATCAGATAGTGTTAAGTGCTATAAAAGATGGTGTGTTTTATATAGCCATCTGTAGTTGTAAGGGAATTGGAAATTTTAGCATTTTCTTTTCCAATGTCTATAGTAAAGAAAGGCAAAAGACAAAGTGATTAGAAATTAATGTTTTGGCCTGATGTGGTGGCTCAGGCCTGTAATCCCAGGACTTTGGGAGGCCAGGTGAGTGAATCGCTTCAGCTCAGAAATTCGAGACCACCCTAGGTAGGCAACATGGCAAAACCCTATCTCTATAAAAAAAATACAGAAAAAAAAAGAAAAAGAAAAAAAAAATTAGGCAGGCATGGTAGCATGTGCCTGTAGTCCCAGCTGCTTGGAAGGCTGAAGTGAAAGGATCACCTGAGCCCAAGAAGGACAAGGTTGCAATGAGCCATGTTTATGCCACTGTCCTCCAGCCCAGGGAACAGAGACCCTGTATATAAAATAAAATATATATATAAAAAAAAAAAAAAAAAAAAAAAAAGAGGCTGGGCATGGTGGCTTACACCTGTAATCCTAGCACTTTGGGAGACTGAGGCAGGCGGGACACCTGAAGTCAGGAATTAGAGACCAGTCTGGCCAACATGGTAAAACCCCGTCTCTACTAAAAATACAAAAATTAGCCAGGCATGGTGGCGAATGCCTGCAGTCTCAGCTATTCAGGAGGCTGAGGCAGGAAAATCACCTGAACCTGGGAGACAGAGGCTGCAGTGGGCCAAGATCATGCCACTGCACTCCAGCCTGGGCAACAGAGCGAGACTCTGTCTCCAAAAAAACAAAAAATGAGATGTTTCTTTTTTTTTTTGAGACAGAGTCTCACTCCGTCACCAGGCACCAGGCTGGAGTGCAGTGGCACGACCACGGCTCACTGCAACCTCTGCCTCCCGGGTTCAAGCAATTCTCCTGCCTCAGCCTCCCAAGTAGCTGGGACTACAGGGGCGCACCGCCACGCCCAGCTAATTTTTTTGTATTTTTAGTAGAGACGGGGTTTTAACATGTTGGCCAGGATAATCTCGATCTCTTAACCTCGTGATCCGCCCACCTCAGCCTCCCAAAGTGCTGGGATTATAGGCGTGAGCCACCGTGCCCAGCCAAAAAATGAGGTGTTTCATAAGCCAATCTATAAAACCTGCACATTTTAGGAGATATTGGTTGATTAATTATTTGTTTATTGCCGGGCGCGGTGGCTCAAGCCTGTAATCCCAGCACTTTGGGAGGCCGAGACGGGTGGATCACGAGGTCAAGAGATCGAGACCATCCTGGTCAACATGGTGAAACCCCGTCTCTACTAAAAATACAAAAAATTAGCTGGGCATGGTGGCGCATGCCTGTAATCCCAGCTACTCAGGGGGCTGAGGCAGGAGAATTGCCTGAACCCAGGAGATGGAGGTTGCGGTGAGCCGAGATCGCGCCATTGCACTCCAGCCTGGGTAACAAGAGCGAAACTCCGTCTCAAAAAAAAAAAAAAATATTTTTTTTATTAAATATCAATTACTTTGAAAGATAATGCATAAATTGTTTATTTAGTAAAGATCGCAAAAATAGGATCAAATAAAACAAGAATAGAGCTTGGGGATAAGTGGCCAAAAAATATATATATTAAAATATGTAGTATATAAAATAAATATTTAATATATAATCAATATAAAAATAGAAATAAAGCAATTCATCCTAAAGTTGGTTAAATGGACTTGGAATAACATTTCTTTTGTTTTTTATTATTTTTATCTTATTTTATTTTATTTTATTATTTATTTTTGAGACAGGCTCTCCCTCCGATTGCCCAGGCTGGAGTGCAATGGCATGATTTTGGTGCACTGCAGCCTCAACCTCCTGGGCTCAGGTGATTCTCCTACCTTAGCTTCCTGAGTAGCTGAGACTACAGGCATGCACTACCATATGCCCGGCTAATTTTTTTTTTTTCTTGAGAGAGGGGGTCGCTACCAGGCTAGTCTTGAACTCCTGGCCTCAAGCAACTTTTCCTCCTCAGCCCCCTAAAACACTGAGATTACAGACGTGAGCCACTGAACCCAGCCTAAAAAAAAACATTTCTGGTGACAGCATCATACATTGCTATGTCTCAAACAACTGAGACAAAATAAAGATAAGATGTTCCCAGAAAACTGTTTTAAGTATATCTGGGAAAAGTGAAAAATGTCTCTACTCTGTTTGCATCCAAATTATATGGCATGTCTTTTCTTTTCTTTTCTTTTTTGAGAAGGAGTTTCACTCATGTTACCCAGGCTGGAGTGCAATGGCACCATCCCAGCTCACTGCAACCTCCACCTCCTGAATTCAAGCAATTCTCCTGCCTCAACCTCCTGAGTAGCTGGGACTACAGGCGTGCGCCACCATGCCCAGCTAATTTTTGTATTTTTAGTAGAGACAGGGTTTCACCATGTTGACCAGGATGGTCTCGATCTCTTGACCTCGTGATCCACCCGCCTCGGCCTCCCACAATGCTGGGATTATAGGCGTGAGCCACCGCGCCCTGCCGGCATGTCTTTTCTAATGGACTCCATTGCCCAGGTATTCAGGGGTTCTTTGTTTTCCACAGTTAGGGTTCACCTTCCTGCCCGCTAATATATCAATTACCTATTGTTGTATAACAAACTACATCAAAATTTGGTGGCTTAAAACAATCTCTATTTCTCAGGATTCTGTGGGTTGAACTGATGGTTCTTCTGTTGCCCCACTTAGTGGTACAGCCTAAGCTTCTTGGGTGGCAGAAGCATCCCAGAGGGCAAAGATAGGACACTGCATGGCATCTTGAGGCCTTAGGCTTTGAAACTCATCCAACACAAGTTCTGCTCCATGTTAGTAGCCTAAGCAAGTCACAAAGCCATCCCAGATTCAAGGCATCGGGAAATAGACTCCATTTCTCCATAAGAGAAATGGCAAAATATTGTAGCTATATTTTTCAATCTGCTACAGACCAGATTAATTATGGCAAGAAGTGCAAGCTGGAGTTCTCCATTTACCTGGCACCCCCAGGTTTCCACAGCTGTAGTTGAGCCCTACGACTCCATCCTCACCATAAACACTACCCTGGAACACTCTGATTGCACCTTCATGGTAGACAATGAAGTCAGTCATCTATGACATCTCTCATAGAAACCTCGATATTGGGTGCCTGACCTACAGTAACCTGAACTATCTGATATTGAATCTGTTGTAGCCACTTGAATATTAAGAATGCACTTGGCTTCAGTAACAGAAAAACCTAGTTGCAATAGCTTAAACAAATAAAGATTTATTTTTCTTAAGTAACAACGCTGGAGGTAAGCAGCATCAGTCCAGTTGCTCCGTAATGCCAGGTCTGGTACCTGCAGTTCTCTTAACTCTTCCCTATGCTTGTCACCTCATGGCCACAAGGTGAGTTCACCTTCAGACATCATATATAAGTTGCAAAAGAGGATTTAGTGATCATAAATGCACTTATATTGAAAACGAATATTTTAGTCAGGTGCAGTAGCTCACGCCTGTAATTCCAGCATTTTGGGAGGCTGAAGCGGGCAGATCATCTGAGGTCAGGGGTGGAAGATGAGTCTGACCAACATGGTGAAACCCTGTCTACTAAAAATACAAAATTAGCCCGACATGGTGGCATATGCCTGTAATCCCAGCTACTCAGGAGATTGAAGCAGGAGAATCGCTTGAACCCAGGAGGCGAAGGTTGCAGTGAGTCGAGATTGCGCCATTGCACTCCAGCCCAGGCAAGAAGAGCAAAACTCCATCTCAAAAGAAAAAAAATGAATATTTTCTTTTTTTTTTTTTTTTAATAGAGACGGGTTTCATCATGTTGGTCAGGCTGGACTCAAACTCCTGACCTCATGATCCTCCTGCCTCGGCCTCCCAAAGTGCTGGAATTATAGGCGTGAGCCACTGCGCCTGACCTAAAAATGAATATTTTCATATCAATGTACAATTTACAAGTTTGGGGCGGGGAGCAGTGGCTCAGACCTGTAATCCCAGCACTTTGAAAGGCTAAAGTGAGCAGATCACTAGAGTTCAGGAGTTTGAGGCCAGCCTGGGCAAAACCCCATTGCTATAGAAAATACAAA